AATGTTATTACAGTGAGTGTGGTGCCCTCTTGAATTAGTTCGTTGTTCGAATTCGACTTATTGTCGGACAGCGGCGATATAATAGTCTATAATATTGTAACTAGTGGTGTTTTGGGCGGCGTAATATTATTCTGCATCGCTCTCCGCCGAGATAATAATATATTAGAATTTCCACTCACGCGGTAAACCGCTAATAAACTTTCGGCGTTCGGTTTCCGCTGTGTGCGCACCAGATAAACGAAAATAGCGAGTGTGCCATCTGTGTAGTTCTGCTGAATTATATGGTTTCTGCGACTGAGAAAATTCGCTCACTATTTATACGAACCCGGCCAATATTCTTAAGCGCGGCTGCTGTGTGTTTTTCTCGAGATTACCTATATCATAACCCATCATCGTTTAAAATACGTGTAGCGTAATTATCGTCGTTTGAGATGACATCGCATCGTTAAAATCGTGCCCGTGCCAGCAGGACGATGTATATGCCCGTCGAAAAATAATTGTGATGGGACGACGACAGTCTATTGCAGTTGTTAAATTATACAGGGCGATTCACCAAATTTTTTTTTCAAATTCGCCCTCCCCCTTTTTCCCTTTGGTTATGCATGTATTTGAATTTTGATTTTTGGAATTTTTAAGTAGGTATACTTGAACCTGTGCCTAGGTTTTACTTACCAGGGCTTCATTTTAAAAAACTCGGACTTACACATAATTTAAGGGGAAAATCCTGTGACGGTACGAACTTCTTCTTTCCAAATAAAAACCAACCTTTTTTACTATAAATTGATAAACAGGTGTTTTTTTTTTTTTTGAAAATGTTGATGTATGTAACTAAAAATTTGAACGAGTAATTTCTGAGTTATTTAAATGTATATTATACTAAGGATAACGGAATAAATCAAATAATAAAAATAATATAACATATTTATGGATTCATTTCTACAATTTTTAAATCATCTACCTATATTTTTCAACCAAATACCATGTACCTACTTATTATTCTTGGTACATAAAGTTAAAATGCTTAAAAACTGATAGTTTGGATTTCGGTTTGGATGCATTAACATTTTCAAGACTGCATAATAATTAACACTGACAAATTTGATTCTCATTTAAAAAAAGGAATTTATTACAATCACACTGCTACAGGACACTTCTTCTCAATTAATGGTATAAAAAAATCTACCATTTTAATATAAGGTCATTAGTCATAACTCATTAAGTATTACTAAATACGTGCACGTGCCTGATGATTCACTCTGTATAATAAACAATATATCTAATGCTTCTGCAGCAGAGTTCCTACGTCACGACTATAGTATTATAGGTATATGGTATACTGTATGGTCTCTTAGTAAATGGGGAAAAAAATGATATATATTATTATATATCGCAGACGTTTTTTTTTAAAGGGAAAAAATGAAAAAAAATTGGCATATATTATAATTATTGGAATCCAGCCATGTGTTCCACTTCTTTTTCTTTTTTTTAATCCTGTTTTTCGATTTGGGACGGAATATTATAATAATATACGAATGGGCTACAGCGTGATTGAATACCGCGAGAAATGTGTTCAGTGTTTTCGCCCTAAAGATGCGATAATAATAACAAAACAAAAAAAATTAAATACCTACAAATTATTATGACGACTGTTCGAAATAAATTGCAATATACTTCAATGGCTCATAATGCACGTTGCCAGCCGTAAAACTTTAATGTTGTGTTATGACTATGTGCGTGTACGTAATAATAACAATAATATTAATATAATAGTGTCTATGTATAGTGTTCATAAATTTTATTGTATACAGATAATGCCTTTTTTTCGCTGCTCAGAGTTACCTCCTCGAGGGTGACTCCAAAACGGCAATATACGATATTCCCGAGATGCGCTTAAAATATTAGATCCTTAATCATAGTTTATCGGTGCTTACTTTATATGGACTCGTTTTGTGGTAATAAAATTATTATTTGTGTTTTTCCGTAAACTTCCAAAACAAAAGATCATTAATATATTATATCTATAAAAAAAAAATCGCTCACCTTGCTCACATTTCATGAAATGTTTGCATACTAAGAAAAATCAAAATATCAAAATTTTCAAATTACAGTATATAAGTACACGTCGTAATATTTATATTGTTTGAATCTACTATAGTTGTGTGTATATTAGTATATTACCTATTACATAATATATTTATATGCACTTACAATTATCACAATATGGCATATTATAATATGTAATAAGAATCTTGAAAATAAAAAAATAAATAAATAGGACCTAGTAAAAAAAAATGTTCCAAATTGAATCATTTATTTGATAATTATTAATGTAGATATTATCATTGCGTATATTATATTGTACAATATAAATTATATAATACATTCAATGATATTGTATACAAATCATTTTTTTAGTAAAATATCTTGGCAAGATTATGAACAAGAAAGTTTACTTGCTTTAAAAATTATAAAATTGATATGTGCCTATTAGTTTACCAAAAAACGACGTAGGTTTGTTTCAAAATTAATTTTTGATAGAATTTTCTACTCAAATATTATTTTACACTTGTTAGATTTTCAAAACTGAATATAATTTTAATTCACTTCAATACGCAAGAAAAAATTGTTTTCATCGGTTTGAAGCTATTACTATTCGTAAAGATCACTGACAAAAATTTAAAAATATAAAATTGTAAATATCCGTGTGTGAATAGAGTTCAAAATTGTGAAAAACTTTCGGTATCAATAAGTGAGTAAGATATCTGTTTATTTATTTTATGGTTACAACAATAATAATATTAGGCATGGTATTACAGTGTGTTTGGAAATGGAATAACACGTGTTTGTGTTTGTAAAAAAATTACTTCCACACATGGCCGAGTATTGTTATTTAGCCGTGTTTACACACATATTTGACTGCACTGTGTGATGTATGTAGTAAAAAAAAAACATTGAGTCTACTCGGATCGTGTTACGTATTTATTTATTTTTTTTTTTGAAGCGTATGCTTTTAAATTTTTAAAAACATATTAACATAAATGATAAGTCTATTGATTCGGTTTTCGGTTGGGCACGTGGACTTTCGTTTACGCATCACCATTTTTCATGTCTGGTTATAATATAGGTTTAATCGTTGTCACTTGGGTTCTCACTTCTTAGAGTCGACGTCTCCTCAAGCACAGTTAAACACCCCTTATTTGGGCAATTGACTGGCACGCTTAACAGAAATTACCATTAACAACTGTGGATATTATTATTATATTTGTATTTGTATCATATACCTATTACCTATATTGAAATGTTCTGACAATTATTGTCTGTGGAAAAATTAGTAATTGTCAATATAACACACGTGCATTCAATAATATTTGGACATAAGGCATAACAATAAAAATACCATACTTTTATTGAAAAATAAAAAACAGAGTAACGTAAATAATTATGATGTAACCGTTTTTATTTTTTGTTAAAATATTCCTGCAGATTTTATATATTGCAACATACTGACACATAATTGAATAATGTATTATTTTTATTTTTCATTAATTTAGTGTCGTGAGCTTTACTTAATATATTTGAAAGATTATTATAATAACAATAATTATTACAAAATTACTGTTGTCTAATATGTTTTGCTTGTCCAACTGTTTTAATTATTATAAATATTTTTTTTTAAAACCTATTAGGAGAGACATGCGGTTATTATGAATATTGTTGAATTTTTTGATTCCTCTAGAAAAATTATTGCTGTTAAAATAATATAATATGGTATCTGTGCTAGACGAATCAATGCGTTAGGGTAAAATGGTCCCATGTAATGTTCACCGTGCCGAATAAAAAATTAGTGAAGCATGATATTCACCGGAAGTGTAGTTTACCTATTCACGTGTTCGATAGTTAACATTTTTTTTTTAACATGACACCATATTTGTATATTTGTTGAGATTTTAATGTTAGTAAAAACTCGATTAAACAATTCTAATACCGTTTTAATTTAACTACTGTTAGACAGGCTTCTTTTTTTCAATATGTTTGTTTGCAGTATTTGTATGGCTTAATTTTCTACTCGGTCGTCTCTATTACAATACTTGTTTTGTATAACTAGTAGAAATAATAACTATGATCAGCACATAAAAAATCTGTGTATTATTTGAATAATCCATTTCAGTAATTTTATTTTAAAAATGTTAATTAACTACAGAGTGTCTCGTGTCGCTATAATAATTTATTAATTGTTATCACAACAACTAAGCCTAGAGACTGTTCACATCTAGAAGTAATTAATGTTAGGTAAGTAATCATGAGACAGTGTCGATAAAATGTAAGTGCCTCTTGTCCCCTTATACGTTTTTTGAGTTGAAGGTCGTATAATTCTCCGGTCATAATCGATATAGTAGGTAACCACTACCGCAACAACCAGACATCGTTGAATTAAATATTTTCAACCAAACTCGAACAATAACTGATAAGTTAAATGTAAGGTTGTTAGCTATATAATAAGCTAGTTTGAAAATCATTCAGGTAGAACTCTAGTACCTATTACTTATGCGAGTTAAGCGGATTTCCTCTGGTCTTTCACCCTTTAAGGATCGCATTTCCAATTTATTGACTTGAGTAATAAAATAAAATAAATACAAATTTAAAGTGACTGAATTTAGGTTTATCCAGCCGCCCTAGTGTGTAGAAGTGTGTTTGGGCTTAGGATATAATTATGTATAATGTAAATGTTTAAACTAAACACGTTTATAGACATATTGTATAGATATGCCCTCTTTTTATATGAAAGGCAGATCCGCGAAACGTATCAGATCGATATTTTTTTACTACTTTTATTTTGCTAGTATATCTACTTACCTATAGTTATAATGACCCTATTTTATAAAAAAAAGTATTGAAGATAATTAACAATTTTTTTTTTTTTTTTGTTACAGGAAATCAGAAAACTTTTAATCGAATTTCCCGTTGAAAGCATTCACATCAGCACGACATCCGGCAGCAGCATGGCCCGAGTGACGTTGGAGGACCCGGAACTAAGAATGGAAGAATGGGACTTCCACAAGCAGTTCGTGTTGAGGGGACAGCGCATACCAGTGTCCCCGACTCCCACCGAAATGCTCTTGTGCGTGGCCAGGTTGCCGTACAGCTACACGGAGGACCAGTTCACCCGGTTGGTGCAAATGTACGGTGAGGTACGCAAGACATTTCTGATTATCAGTGAGAAGACCGGCGAGAGCAAGGGATATGGATTTGTCGAGTATTTGAACAAGGAGTGCGCGATCACGGCCAAATGCGGTTTGGACGGCAAAGGTATCGATGACCAGACACTGGTTTGTGATTGGTTGGACGGTAGTCATATTACCTACGATTCTCTTCACTCCAAATGCCTGTATGTGGACAACTTGCCCAAGTCATTCAGAGACATGAGCGAATTCCGTAAAGTGTTTGCCAAAGTCGTGAACCCGCCATATTGCCAGGTTAGTGTCTATACAGAATCTACGACCATGTTGGTAGAATAGTGTACCTACTGTGCATTATTTTATTGTTGTACTATCTATACTAAATCAAATAAATCTATTGTTTAGATTGCGCTTAAAAATGGATGTCCATTAGACTGGGGTCTAGTGGAGTATAACACAGCTGAAGATGCAGAAAGAGCACAATCGGAGTTGAATGGACACACATTGAGAGGCCATAATATTCGCATTACATACTACATACCTGGAGTCAGAGCTATAAATTTGTTTTTGAAACTATTGAACGAACCGGTAATGGTGTGGGAACAATCTAATATTTGTTTTTATTCTATTTTAATTATTTTAATTTGTTTTTTTTTCTCAGAGTAAATCTAAATGTGGTGGACTCTTGCCAGACCCTCCACAGGAAGTCATTGAGCAATCGTTGCAAAACCTTTCCAAACAGAATCCAATCTGTAAGTACCCAATAGAGATAGTAAAATATTAATTTAAAATTGATTTTTATGATTTTTTTTTTAAATTTTAGTTGCACAAAATCTTCAAAATATTATTTTTAATCAAATCAAAGCCGCTCAAATGGGGACTGAACAGCAAGATTTTAACGATTGTAAGCTTATTAAAATGTTAAGTTATTTAATCAACTTATATGTATTATAACTGATTTTTATTGCAAATGTTTATAGCAACACTGAGATCACATTTAATAAATGGCAAAGCTCCACCGACTATGTTGCATTCTCCAACAAGTTTACCTTACATGGGTGCTACTCCAGAGGTAAATTCAATTTTTTTTTTTAATAATAATTAATTGATACGTAAGGTTATATTATGTTTTTATTTTGTTATTTTAGACTTATGGATCAAGGTTATTACCTAGCCCACCTGTTGGAGAAGTTCCACCACATTTAAATTCTGGATTATTTGATGCAGATTTAAACAACCCACTATTGGCTAATTATTATAGAGAACTAATAACCGCTCAGATTTTGGCTGGAACACAAAAGGCTAATGGATATGGAGGTTTGACTGCCAACCTTAATCCTGCGTTTGTTGATACCGTACAACAAACTGCAAATAACAATAATACTTTGAATCAAATTGATGCTGTACAAAAAGTTTATCAAAACCAAAATTTACAAAGTATTGGCCAACAATTAGCTCAACAAATAGCTCAACAACAAATAGCTCAACAACATATAGCTCAACAACAGATGAATCAACAGTTAGTTCATCAACAACAACAACAACAACAACAGCAACAACAACATAATATAAGTCAACAACAAAATGTTGTTATTAATATCTATGGAGGTGTTAATACTACTACACCTCCAGCAACACCGACTCCAACTACTCCTACTTATCCATTTGGTTCATCATTATCTCTTAACATGGACCAACAGTGGCCAAAAAATACTCAGTCTTCAGCAACTGATTCGTATCTAGCCAGTCCCATTGCTGCACCGGAAAAATCGTCTGTGAGTTACTCGCCATCATCCACATGGTCCTCTATGCAGAGCATCGCTTCGACTCCATCCCCACAATCTATGTATTCTCCTTTAGCTCCAAATATCTGGACACCTACTTCGTCCACCTCATCGTTGTCAAATCAACATGAAACAGCTCGTGGTCAAAAAAGAGGTATTCCTCCATCGCCTGAACTTAGTCCTGAAGGTATGTATATTGGACAACATTCACAAGGAATTGGTGGCCACTATGCTGATTCCTACTTAAAACGTAATAAGAAAAATTGAACTCCGTTCTCAACTTAGCTTTCTATGTTTAACTTAAAACGTACATAATTCTTATGTTAATTTCATAGTCCAGGACAATCATTATTTTGTATTATCATTTTAGTGTTAGATTTAATTATTAACAAAAAAACAATTATAGATTTGCTTCTGTTTGTATTTTATGAGGTCATACGCTAACTCTTAATGCAAAACAAAATAAATACCTTAAATGGCATGCGTGCAACTTATCTATTCCTGTTTTCTTTATAGCATCTACATATTTATTTTTAATTTATTAAAAAAATCCTGGACTAATTTATTATTTTCAATGTTTTTGTTTTGACCACAATTCAATGTTGACTGAAATGATGTGATATAATGTCATATTCATATTGTTTTTTTTTTGGTTTTTTTTTTTTTATATTCTTGATTTATTGGAAAGGTGTAAATTAACTTATTTTTATCTTCTCAAGTATTCATTTTATGTACATGTATTTTTCACAAGACTCTTCAAGTGGACTTATTAACTTTATTTAATCACATAGCCATCAACGCACTGAATGGAAATTCTGATTTATTATGAAAGATAATTCTTATTTATAGTTGAAGTTTTTACTTATACTCGAGTTTATGTTTGATAATGAGTTAAATTTGTCATATTTGTCCATTTTTTCTTTTTCTATTGATTTTTTAGTATGTTTTATTTCTTTTTTTGAAGTCCAAACCAATTAGTATATATTATTTTAATATAAATATTGATTCTTAGATGTAAAAATATAATTATCCACCTTGATAATAAATATTTCTTATTTTAAACTTAAAAATTCATACTATTGGTCTATAATCCACAAGATCTATTGGATCTACCCTCAATTCCCACTATAATTTACTTATTATAATATTATCAATAATATTTAATTATATATTATGAACTACTTTTATATATAAACATAAGTTTAAAATTTGTAGGTGTTATAACTGTGATTGTACAATTTAATATTATTGAATTTACTTTGTTTATAAGCCAAATGGTATTTAACAACGCTCATTTGGTCTTAACTACACGCGTTTAATTTTATTTAAAATAATTTTCTATTAGATGTTGGCAATCAGAAAACAAAAAAATATATTTTATCCAATCATCCTAATTTTGTATATTAAGACTGCATAAATATGATAAGGGTATGCAATTTTAATATTTGTATTACTATTATTACATATTTTTAAAACTTAAAATGTTTCTAAGAACTAAATTAATGTATTGTTTTTATTTTAAGGCTGATTAGTTAACCTGCTTTTTTCATTTTTCAAAAAAACATTTTAGAGTAGGCAGTGTTTTTTTAATTAATTAATTTATTTATTTTTATGTATGAATTATTTTTGTATGTAACTTATCTCATCAACTGTTATCTTAAATATATATGTTTTTTTTTTTTTAATTCTTTGTATTGCATAACATTCAAGCTATGCTAATCTTCATTTACGAAGTACAAATTTTCGTTACAATCCTTTATTGTTTAATGTATATAAATGTATCTTTTAATGTATTTAATATTATTAGAAAGTACATTATTTACCTTATTGTGTTACTTTATCCTAATAACACATCTTTTGCTAAATTAACATCATCAATTTTAGTGTAGGCTTTTAATTATTTAATATATCAAATAATATTAATTATTTGTATATATTTTTCATCATATTTTTGTTTGTATATCGTGTATTATTTTTTCAGTACTATTCTTAGATTGTTAGAAAACTCCATGATATTTACAATTTTTATTTTTTTGTTTCCAAGTATATTTTAACTGTTATAATTTTTATTTGTATTATCTGTTTAAACTAAAATAATAATATGGTAATCATGACAGTATATCTAATAATATATATTTAAATATTTTGCCTATAGTTGATTAAATAATCATATGCTTTTATTTAATGTCTACAGTTAATTAACAATTTCAAAAAAGGCTGACTAGTATATTCATATGAAATCATAATTTTTCCATTAAATTATGTAGGTACAATAAAAATGTGATTTATCATCTGCTAAGATGATAGATCTTCAATCTTCGTAAAACTTTTTTCATAATAATATTGTTATCTTAACATTCTTACGTTATCTAATTATAGAATAATATTATTTCGTTGATATTTTATTATCAATGTTCTTATTCTTTGCTATGACCTTAAAATAGGTAGAAAATACATCGATGTGATTTTATATACATTTATTTGTCCTTTTTTTTAGGCTTATTGATTTAATATATATTTGTTTTGTATCGCTTATTATCTACATAAATATTTTTAATAAATAATATTGAATTGTAGTTTTTTATTAATACATGATGTGATTGTTCATTAAACAGAAAATAATTTTTATATTATATTATTTTTTTTCTTGATTATTTTTTTTTTTTTTATATAGTAATGTATTATTTTAAAGAAAATATGAGGAATATATTTGAAATAATTATTTTTTTGTATTTAAGATTTAACCTAATACATTTTTATTTCCTTAAATCCTTAAATAATGTTTTTATAGAGTTAATTAATTTGGATGGCTTTGTTAATTATTTTAAACAATTAAGTTTATGAGCGATTTTCAATCAGTTATTTTAATATTGTTTTGCTATACTGGTGCTTTTTATGTATTATAAAAAAAAAGGTGTTACACATAAATTTGGATTTGGTATATAATTGTAAGCATTTATAGCTGATATAATTTTTATAATTTTTTTTTTTTTATAAAAATTTAAAAGATAATGTTTTTATGAAAATATAAAACAAAATATTTTCAAGTGTACTCAATGTTAAATTTATATTTATAATCCATCATATTTTTATATTCAGTTTGAATTGAAGTATGATTCTTTTTGATGATTGTAGAATAGAATTATATTTAAACTGACTGTACCTATTATTATTAATTAAATATTAAAATATAAGTCAGTTGATGGGTAAAAAATTGGCAATGTCGGCTATTGAACAGTAGATGAATTTAATAAGTTATTACCAGCAACTTCTTTCTTTACTTTATCCTTGCTGTTAAACTATATAAATATTATTTTATAAAGCATAGCTGAAGTTAAATAATTTTACCAACTTTTTGAAAAATCAATTTAGTCAGTATTTAGCATAGCATACTTCATCGAAAAGAAATATGTTGGGTATGAATAAAACCAATGAAATAATTAAAATTATAAGAAGACTGGCCCAAATATTATCTAAGAATTTAACAAATATTGGGAAAACTATAATTTTTCCACGTCAGGCAAAAATAACCTTTGACAACCATGCCTATGTGATATAATATTATAATAATATTATTATTAATGTATTATTAAATTATTTAAATAAAATATAAAAATGTTCGGTTAATATTAGATATTTTATGTGTGATTGAGGATTCCAGGGTTTGTTTTATACACACTATTTAATTTTTATGTACTAATAATTTAATTTAGAACTCCTTGGATCCCACCTGAGTTCTCTCAGTACAACTCAGTATTTTGACAAAAAAAAATGCAATGTTTTTAGACAATCGTACAATAGTGTCTATAAATATTTAAATTTAAATACTAATTTAGTATTATTACTATTTAATAGGTATACAATATTCATTATACTACATTTGATTAATACATGAAAAATATCAAGATTTTAATTTTCGAGCTTAGCGAAAAAAAATATTTGTAATAACTATAGTACCATAAATATTGGCCAGCTGAAAATTTTTTTGTCATTCCTAGTAAGCGTACTTTTCAAAAAGTTGAAATGAAGCCCCTGAATATTAAAAAAATATGGTACAACATTTGATTTTCTTTTTTTTTAGTCACTTCCATTACTTCTTCAGCACTTATAGGGATAATATGTATTTGATAGGTATGTCCATTATCCACGGTAATACAAAATTGATAATATTTTAGTATGAAAACGATCCATTTATTATATTATCATTTCCTAATACTTTTTCTAACACAGGAAAATGTATTATTAGCCGCAAGGACACTAGCGGGTCTTCTTTGCAGCAATATTATCGGCAATCGTCAGTTCGTCAAATTGTATTCTTGTAATAATTATATTTATAAAATTAATAAAATAAAAAAAAAACACACTATTGTACAACCACTAGCTTCCTCGCTCAGTCGCTCCGCTCAAAATCTAAAAATAACATAATATTATATAAAATAGTTTGAAACTACTTGCATAAATGCATACCATATTAAATGTTGATACATTCGGATGTCACTAACTCACATCAACTGCTTATTCATTCCAGAATTCAGTCTCATCACTACAGTCAATAGAATAAATTCTTACACATAATTGTAACACATATGTGTAAATTATGTTGACAGAAGTGATTTCCTGTGCAGCAACTTTTATAATTATAATTTTGTCAATAATGTGTGAATAGGGAAAGTGAATAGTTAAAGAACTAACTAATTACCAACTTTATTCTGTTCCCAACTGCATATCAAAAATCTTCATTACTCAAATGTTATGAACATACTGCATACCTCATGTCTCATAGGTAGGTAGGTATAATACTTTTGATATTACAAAATATGCCGATTCATCCACCAAGGGCGTCATTTGGGGGGGAGGCAGGGTGTGCGATTGCTCCACTAACACGATAGAGTAAATATTTGGCCCTTCATAAATGCTGATTACTATTAAAAACTAATAAAATATTCATGCATATAATATAAATTTATTTATTTTAACAGCTTTATTTTCAAATTTATCCCTATTTGATTACCGTGTGAAGCTTGATGACCGTGTGAAGCGCGTTTTATTATACATATAAGATAGTTCGCCCCAGCCTGCTGGTATCAGCTTGTGTAAGCATATAGCACAGGTAATATACCTATATTAGAACCCGTAAATATTCACTGATTTAAATTTGAAAATAATTAATAATGTGTTATTTTGTATGAATAGTGTTTAATTTTTGAATTACATTTATTAAAAAGAATTTCTTTAAACCGCATATTTTGCTTTTATTTCTCCAAATA